ATCTAGCACAGGTAAGGCACTGGGTTTGATCCTCAGCACCACATAAAAAGAAGTAAATAAAAATAAAGGCACTGTGTCCACCTACAACTAAAATAATATTTAAAAAAATAAGTAACCAATATCTTGTAGGGAGGTAATCTGATACTGTAAGTTTCCTGTTTTTCATCAAACCTTTGCCCACTAATATTAGCATCCATGGATAATTCTTGCCTGAGTCAAAGATGACTGTGCTGATGGTCAAATGGTATATTTCAGTCATTTTTGTGTCACTATAATCAATATACCCGACAAGAAAACTCAGAGAAGAAACGTTTATTTGGGCTCATGGTTTCAGAAGTCCATTCCATGGTGAATGAACTCCATTGCTCAGAGCCCAGGTGAGGCAGAACAACATGTCAGAGAGGAACGCAGCTTAGGCCCTGACAGCCAAGAAGCAAAGAGAGTGCTTCTCTCACCAAGGACAAAATATAAACCCCCAAAGTGCCCCCAGTGACCTGCTTCCTCCAGCCACACCCTACCTGCCTACAGTTAACCACCGAGTTAATCTATTCAAGCGGGTTAATGATTAATTAGGTGAAAGTTCTCATAGTCTAATGATTTTACTTCTTACCATCTTGCATTGTCTCACACGTGAGTTCTTAGGGGACACCTCATATCCAAACCATAACATGCTATATGCATGATTTTTTGAATAAAAAAAAAAACTTTCTGCAATTGGATTTTTGTCATTCAAGGGAAGTATTATGAAGATATGAGGCATCCCCCAAAAGCTCATGTATGAGACCATGCAAGAAAGCTTAGAGGTAAAATGTTTGGGTTATGAGAGCCTTAACCTAATTAGTGCATTTATCCTCTGATAAGGATTAATTAGGTGGTAACTGTAGACAGGTAGGGTGTGCCCGAGGGAGGTGGGTCACCGAAGGCATGCCTTTGGGGTTTGTATTTGTCTCTCTCTTTCCTGGATTCAACCCCTAATACTGCAAAAAGGGGGGAAAGAGAGAGAGAGAGTAGAATGCATTTTTAAAAAAGGGGGAGAAAGAGGGTATCATGTATGTATACATTATAAAGTAATAAAGTAAGGACTGAAAAAATTAAACCTGTGTTACCAGGGAAAATGAGGAACTTTAGCACAAATGATTATAGATACTAGGGAACTGAATTTTTTTAAAAAAGAAAGAAAATTCATAGAAACCTTTAGGCTACAGAAAAGTGTTAATAACTATTATACAATATTATTTATGCATACATTACTACCAAACAAAATTTTTCAAACATTGACTGAGTATTATTTATTAAGTGGAAAAGGTATCCAGGATCAAATAGGATTGGGGAATTTGAATTGAACGTAGTGTCACAGAGCTCTGGCTAGCAAAGTGATGTTGTGGATCTTGGTGAAGACGCTAAGTGTGTGTTTGTCCCAACAGGTTTGCCAAGGTAATGGGTGTGCTGAGAGATGCCCTGGGGACCCGCAGGGGAAAACACAGCCCTTCATGTGAATAGAGCCCTCTCAGAGCCACCTACTGAGATGGTTCGAATTCAGAAATGCTTGATGTTCATAAACTGTTGTCTTGCAGCAATGTCTCTGCAGACATCCCAACAGTCGACAGAATTGTCACAGGTCACTGACACTGTGCTCACTGATGTGCTACTGCCTTGGCCACTGGTATGGATAGTTAAATTAAACTGTGAGCATGAAGTGATACACATGGTGTCTAAGTCCCCTTTCCAGTATGAAAACAAGCCCCGCCTCCTTCCCTAAGCTTTGGTACCCTGTGTGAATGCAACTCACCCATTGTAACCTTTCATCACAAACCATGAGAGACCATTGGGTTCTGGATAATGCCATTGTCCCTCACTCATCATTCACCCACCAACCCTCTCAGTCAGCCCTTGTTTCCATTTGCTCAGCACCTCTCTTGTGCCAGCAGCAACAGGGGTGCTGTACTCAATTCTACAAAAGCAACTTCATGGCAGCCATCAGGTGAAGGTATAGCCTGATGAGGATATTTATGTAATGCTGATAATGATTTTTTATTCTGGTAACATCCTTTATTGGCAGAACTTCATCCTTTTTTATGTATGCATGTATATAGGTATGTGTTTGATTAGTGACCAGTTTCTCAGTGGCCTCAAATGCTACTTCTCCTTTGTGTCCTGGTAGGAGGCATCAGCAGTTCAACTGTTCAACCAGCCTGATAATGAACCTTGGTTATGACTTCTTGTACATGGCCACCATTGGTGTGGAATGAGAATGATCTCATAGCAAAAATCTGTAGATTCTAATTATGTGTGAAGAGGTGGTGGTGTGCTTTAACATGGATCTAGTGTCTTATCTTCCCAGAAGATGTCAGACCAAAAAGCTAGTGATGTCATGTGCCTAGCTAAAATGCTAGAGAGACCTCTATGTCTTCATTATAGCCATTTTTCATTCCATACCTTACTTCCAGAAGAATATTTCAGAAATTTTGAGCGTTCCTCTAACTCACTCAGTAAAATATCAATCACCTGATAAACGACAGAGTTCATCCCAGGGTGGGCATCTGGTTTTCTTTTCCTCTGGGTGTGTCTTTTGGTTGATGTAAATAGTTTATGTGTGTCTGTTCCTCGGAAGTCCTGTTTGTTTTGATCAGTTATTGTTGAGCTCTGAGAATACCACTATCCTAAAAATACACCCTGCTATGACATATGGTATTTGGCTCTTAGGGATTCTTCAGATATGATTGTAGTCAGATGGTTCAGTGTAACAAGAAGAAAAACATTTTTATGAAGTTAGAATTTAAAGCTGTATTTATTTGCCCTACTATTCAATGAGGAGAATTTTGTCTGAACTAATAGGATTTGGAAACTAAATGACTCATTTACATGGCCCATGGATGTCAAAAGAAATTCTTTCTGGATAAATTATATTTCATTTGACTCTGTTCATCTATAAGGTGAGTCACATCTAGCTGGTACAAGTCCTATGAAGATAGTCAAATGACCCAGTCTCCCTAATCCATGCATAATGTGCTGGTGACATGACGTGGGGGAAGAGATAAGAAAAAGAGGTCAACTAATATTCTGAGCACTCAAGCTATGGAGGACATTTTCATGTGGCTTAGGCCCTAGCAGATACCCTTGCATCTTTCTTTCTACTTACAGGCTGCCCTTGCCCTCTATCTTCATGTGGCCAAGTCTTTCTTACCTTTATAGGACCGAAGGACCAGTATAAATGTCACATTATCAAATAAATCTTTTCCCCGCTACCTTGCATTGCTTCCTTGAAGTCCTGTAGAAAAGTGCCTTTACCACATGTTGACACTCATCATTTTATACCTTTATTTTCATTATTTTTTTTTCTCTACACAGAGCTTCTACATTGGGCAGTGAACCTGGGAGGGGATTCAGAACTCTTCTTTTGTTGTTTTGGAATCCTAAGTATTAAGGGCAGTGCATGTAAGCAGAAGGTACTGAGTGAGTTTGCTGAATGACAGATGAGTGTGATACGAGAGAATACTACTGCTGTGTGGGTGCTCAGAGAGGTAACACTTTGCCTGTGGGGGGAAAAATACTGTTAATGGTGGTTGAATCTCCAGCTGGGCAAACACTTGTGTACATTACATATATAATGCTCATAGACATCTTTGAGACACATGCCATTAACCCTGTCTTCTATTTGGCAAAACTGATTCACAGGGGGTTTAGGAAAGTTTTCCTGGATCACACAGACTGCTCACAGCTAGTGAGAGATAGAGTCTAGGTTTGACTAAGAGTCTAGGTTTAGCTAAGCTAGCCTGTGGTCTTTCCATGGTGTCTTTCCATTCCTCCCCTCCTTCTGTCATAAGGGTGTTTCTCTGAGTCTCATGTCAAGGTTTCATAATCCTGTAACAAGAAGCTCCTCCAATAATACAGTGATAATGATAGCTACCCACAGAGCACACATGTATAGGTCTTCTGCATTCCATAGAATGGGAATTATGGAAGTATTCAAGCTCAGCACTAATACTTATAGAACATTTATGACAGTAAAAATGGAGGTCCAAATACCACCTGTCTAGTCCCTATGAATCAAGTGACAAATAAAATGTGGTTGATCCTTTTGAATTATTTTTAATTATTCAAGGTTCTAACAGAGAAAAAGAATCAATAGGAAATCTCTTGATATCTATTTTTCTATCTAGAAAAAGAAAAGGACTAATTTAAAGGGATTGACTTATGGGATTGGGGAAGGTGGCAATTTTGTTATCTGCAGGATAGGTCAGCATATTGAAGATCCAGGGAAAAGTTGATATTGCAAACCAAGTCCAAGAGTAGTCTGCTGGTGGAATTCCCTCTTCCTCATGGAAGCTTAGTCTTTTCCTCTGAAGGCCTCAAGTGATTGGATATGACCAACCCATACCATGGAAAGCAATTAATTTTTTTTTTACATAAAATCTACTGCATGAAAGGTTAATCTCATCTACAATATGCCTGACTTGCTCGGGAACACATGAACAAGGACTTTGAGGTTTATGGTACCTGGATCATGGTCTGGAAGGGTACATGGGCCCTCTCTTAAGAGAGTATGAATCCAACAGACTCCTTTCTAGAAAGAGGAGTCATGGAGACATGGTTAGAATAGAGCCCTTTACTGCATAGGGAGTGAGGCCAGGGTTCTTCTTTCTGAGTAAGGAATGGGACATCGTCATGAGGAGCATAGGCATGAGGACCTGAGATTCAAAGAGCTTGGATGATGTGCCCCAGGAACTCAACTCATTCGGCCCAGGAAAGAAAGGTCATTGCCATTTTTTACAGGTTCAGATTTATACCGTTCAACGTACTGCAATAGTATGGTAGTTAATACTCTCTGTATCTTTATTGTAACTATAGGGAAATAGAACAAAGTATTGATTAAAAAATAAAACAAAGTATTTGGAAATAAAACAAAGTATTGATTAAACAATAAAGACTGGAAATAAAATGAGATTACTACACAATCTCTCTTGGCGCTTAATGAATGAAAACTTTCTTCTTTCTTTGTAGGGAGAGAATCAGTCCTGTATCTTTATTAAAGAGGAATAGAAAGAAGCCAGACCTGGCAACCAAGGGATGAGGCACTGGCCAGGTAAGTGGGGTGGGATCAGGCTCTGGGGATTCAAGGACACACTGATGGCCTGGGAGGAGTCGAGGAGACCAGATCCTGGTGAGAAGGTGCCCAAGAGGGAAGTTTCAGGCGCTGTGTCCATCAGCTGGTTCTGCAGCGGGGATATAGAATAGGTTGTGCTGGCCTGGATTTGCCCTGTGGCCGTTCTGCCTTGTCTACCTAGATCACTCACTGGTCCCCATCCTGTTCCTTGCTGTCCGTGTGCACCTCGACAAGAAGCTCAGTGACCTCTCCATTACCAGGTAACTTAGTCATTCATTTCATCGTCCATGTCCTATATGTCCTCTTCAGGTCCTAATTATCTTCATCCTCTTCCTCTTCCTCATTGTCATAGTGCTCTGTGGCTGGCTTGTCAATAGGTACCAGACTGTTTTCTTTTAACAATATTTTTGCTTAGGGCAATTCAGAGCTTTTTATTTCAATAAGGGCAACACACGAGGTTCGAGTACAACAAGAGAAGTGCTAAGCAAATCCCCCAGGAAGGATATTTGACCTCCACCAGCTTTTACAAACCAGTCCAACTAGATGCCTCTGCTAAACAGAAAGACAAAAGCTTGTGATGGTCTGGAAAATCAACACTAAATGTGCTAAGTTCATTTAAGTAAGAACATTTTGAGACCCAAACCTGAAAATACCTGGCCAAAGAGGGCATATGTGTGTGTGTGTGTGTGTGTGTGTGTATTCTTTTTTTTTTTTTGAAACAGGGTCTTGCTAAATTGCTGAAGCTGGGCCTCAAACTTCTGATTCTCCTGCCTCAGCCTCCTAAATCACTGGGATTACAGGCATGCACCATCAAGCTTGGCTAAAGAGGGTACATTGCTGATAGAGTACATATAGTTGTAAGAGAATATTTTTCAATTCTTATTGGTTCCTTTGGCAGAACCCAGTTTGCAAATCTAATAGAAAGATTTACCAGACAAATGGGCTCAGATACTGATTGAAAACTAACCAAATAGGCTATGTTAATTACTGTAATTTAAACATATCAGGGTAAAGACAGATTAAGGGGATTCCAGGGCTTAAGTGATCCTGTCTCAGCTTTCTGAGTAGCTGGAACTACAGGCATGAGTCACCATGCCTGGTGATCCATATTGTAGCATGTATGAATACTTTCTTTTTATGACTGAAGAGCACATTTTGTTTATTCAAATACTTAATTGTTGATCAATATCTGGGTTGGGTTGTTTTTACCTTTGTGCAGTTGTGAATAATGCTGCTATGAACATTTGTGTACAAGTATTTGTTGGAATACCTGTTTTCAGTCACTTTGGGTATAGACTTAGGAATGGAATTGCTATTTTGAAGCCATAGCAAGATTCTTCCTTGTGCTTACTCCCAAAAAAAAAAAACTAGGAAAATTAAGAATTAAAAAATAACAGACAGATCAAGGAGGAAAACTAAAATTTTAGCATTATTTATAAAACAAAGTTGAAGAAATAATAATTTTATATTTGTATTTATATGCATATGTCCATAACTGTGTCTATGTACAGCCTGCCTTAGGATGTATGTTATGCTTTGGACCTTTCTTCCCCCTAGTTCTTTTATTTAATTTTATTTTTAATGCTCTTATTAATACATTATGGTTATACATAATGTATAAGTATAATGCTAGAGCATCCTGAGTTCAAAGAACAAGAACCAGAAAAGGCACAACAAGCCAGATTGGAAGCTTCATGTGCATTTTTTTTTTTAATCTTCAATACTGGGGATTGAACCCAGGGCCTCACACATGCTAGGTAAGTGCTCTACTATATTGAGCGATGCCCCTGTTCTTTTTATTTATTTTTTTGAGATACAGTCTTGCTAGGTTTCCCAAGTGATCTTAAAACTCACATGGTCATATTTGTTATATATCTCACTGTAAGGAAATTAAAGCACAAAGGAATGAATAATCCTGGTTGCATGTTGTTAAACTTGTCAGGGGTTCCAGGATGGAACACAGACTATGTTGCCCAGAGCTGCCCCTGAACTCCAGGGATCCAGCAAATTCTCCTGCTTCAGTCTCCCAAGTAGCTGGGACTACAGACACATATAAGGATGCGCTCTACCACTGATCTACGTCCTCATCCCTGGAACACAGGCTTTTTGACTCAAGAGTTTGTGGTCTTCCTACCACCTGCCTCTTGCTTCATTTTCATTACATGTCAGGCAGAATATTTGCTTTATATTTTTGTGTTTGCTTTTCATAAAAATGACTTGCAATCTGCCTAATCAATCTCTAGATTGCAGATAAGGAAGTAAGGCTCACAGGGGATAAGGAATGAATACCCGAGGTCACACAGTCAGTAAATAGCAGGAAAGAATAACTATCAAAGCTAGGTGCGGTGGCACACATCTCTAATTCCAGCTACTTGAGAGGCTGAGGCAGGAGGATCACAAGTTCAAGGCCAGCCTCAGCTACTTAGTGAGACCCCATCTCAAAATTTAACAAGTGAAAAGGGATGTAGTGCAGTGGTAGAGCACCGACCTAGCATGCAAAAAGCCCTCGGTTCAATCTCCAGAATAATCAATCCATCAAGTCAGGGATGTTATCAGAAAGAGTAATCTTTCAACAGTGTCTTTAATATTCCTTTTGAGTGCAATTTCAACTAAAGTTATAATGTGTTCTAGTATTAGATTAATGTGTAGCTGCCTCTGTATTTTGTACAGAGCCAGAAAAGGGAAAAAAAAAATAGAAGCATTGGAAAAACTGCACTGCGTCTACAGGATGTCCTGTTACATTTATCTGGTAGGACAGACCCATGACTCACTATAAAATTTGACACAACGGAAATGGTTTTATTGTGCAGGGTTCTTCTCTCCCCATAAATATCAAACACATTGATTTGAGGATAACAAGTTATATTTGTCCTAATATAAAGGTTTCTGATATAATTTGTTTTGAGGTGAAACTTTGTTTTCATTTCATGTTATTAATTCATTTATTTATCTATCTGGGTTTTTGTGGTACTGAGGATTGAAACTAGGCGTACTCACTGAGCTACATCCCCAGTCCTTTATATTAATTTTTAATTTTGAGATAGGGTCTTGCCAAGTTTCCCAGGCTGGTCTTGAACTTGAGATTCTCCTGCCTCAGCCTCCCCAGTAGCTGGGATTACAGGCATGCACCACCGTGCCTGGCAGAGGTGAAAAGAGCGTTAGACATGTAGGTGATCACTCAGAAAGCTCAAGGAGGCTCAAGTATTTTGAGTTTCCTCAGGTCCCCCTTCCTAAGTTAATGATGATCAACAGTGTGAGAATGTCTCTTGACAGAATTGCTGAGTGTTTGCCATTATCTTGCAAAGGTTGGGTGGCACTTGACCAACTAAAAACTTCTCATTCAGCTCTTCACCCTCAGAAAAGTGCAGTATCCTGGGCTGTAGTGTAGCTCAGTGGTAAGACACTTGCCCGGTGAGCTTGAGGCCCTGTATTCAAACCCCAGCATCACAAACAAAACCAAACCAAGTGATGTCTGGCAAAAAAAAAACACTCAACAGTAATATAATAATAATAATACCAAAAAGAAAAGCAGCTTTGCATAAAAAGGGACCATAACACTTTCTCACTGTGACCAACTAGAAACAAATCCATGCATTCAATTCTGTAATCCTTTGGAGAAAAAAAAAAAAACAAAAAACTGAAAAACAAAATGAACACCCAGAGGCAATTTCTTCCTCTTTTAAAAATAAATAGCAGTTATTTACACTAATTATTTAGAGAGTCTAAAACGTCTCCTCTGCACAAGAACTTCTTGATCACATTACCTCATATGATTTTGCTGCTTTCAGTATATATGTATTGCCAAATCATATTATTAAAAAAAATAGTTTCATAAAGAGAAAATTTCCCTCCGTCAGTCACTGGAATTGTTCAACGATAAAATTTGGCCCTAGTGTTTCTACCTTTCATCCATTTTCAAACAGATATGACCCAGTTGTGCCTGTGTGTGTGTGTATGTGTGTGCACAGTAGGGATTCTACACAGCTATGTATGTGTATGTAGAGCATGTATTTAGGGTGAGTGTGGAGGAGTATGTGCTTTGTGTGTGTACATAGGTACATATGCAGAGGTGTATGTATGTAGGGAATCGTGTGTATAGGAACATATTCACACAGATATGTGTGTTAAGGATGTGATTGTGTGTGTAGCATGTTTGTGTGTGCAGCATGTTTGTGTGTGTGTGGTGTTTGCATTTGAAGATGAGTGTGTGGCTATGGGTACATACTAGGAGTGCATTGTATGTAAAAGTGCTTGTGTGTGTTTATGTCGGAGTGTGGGTGTGCAGGCATGTGGGGGGGGTTACATGCATATGTATGTATACATGCATATACCTGTGTGTGTGTGCCTGTGTAGGGAGTATTCTGGGGGAAAAGTTGTGAAAATGAGTCTGCTCTGGGGAGGAGTAAATGTGAAATTAGTCAATAAAGACGAGAGGATAGCTGAGGCTGGATGGTACAGACTTCAGAACCAAGGGAGGAGTTGAGACTGTGGACAAACAGCGGAGAGTTGGAGGGAACGATAGGAACAGTCTAAAGAATCACTGAAATGCGGCTGTCCAGGTGGACTAAGTTGGATTTGATGGCCCCGTGGCAAGGACCAGGGAAAGGGAGGGTAAAGATCCAGATTATGGGAGCCCAAGAGGTCCCCTCTGAGAGGACAAGGGCTTGGTTCTCCTCAACCAGGGACCACAGCTGAGAAGGGCCTGGACTTAAATTTCCACCCCATCACAAACTTGGGAAATGATTGAACTCACTAAAACTTGGACATCTGATGTTCATTTTTAAAAATGTTATAACTATTGTGTGTGTGTGTTTATGTGTGTGCGCGCATGCGTAAGTGCATATTTGGGTGCTGGCGATTGAATCCGTGGCCCTGTGCATGATCTACACTAATAAGTGTAGTGCATGTTCTACACTAAGATACACCCCAGCCCCAAGTATTTGATTTTTAAATTGGAAAGACCAAAATTTCGTAGAACTGGACTGAAGATTAAATTAGATACTACACACAAATGACAGCATATCTTGGCTTGTGAAAAATTTTCAAGCATGAAATAGAAGAGGTAGAAGAGAAAGAAGAAAATACAGTGACTTGCAGGGAGTGTTTCATGTTGCTAGAGAAATAATAGAACCTATTTATATTCCGACTTTTCAAACCATTTCTGCTGTGTTGAATTAAAAAATCGGAATACTTCCAGACTGCTGGGAACAGCACTTCCAACATAACTCACATCTGAGCTCTATGAAGGAAGAAGATGACGTGCCCTTTTATTTATGTGGGACAGTGTGTGCCAGCCAACCAGTGAGAAGTGTTGTCCACCCAAACTGATTCTTCCTGTGGTGACAGGCAAGGCTGACTCACCAAGATGTGGGGGCGTGGGGGATACAGAATCCCTCTTCATGGTGACGAGCTGGGTTTGGACGACTGGATGTCAGTCCAGAATGCAAAATGAAATAAGTGATGTCCTGTGGCATCTGCCACATCAGTACAAGAATGATATAGGGTGGTTCATCCACAGGAAGTGGGGTGCAGTTTGCTATAGTTTGAACATGTCCCCCTGTAAGGGTCCCGCAAAGCATCGGAGAAAGAGACCACCAAGTGACCACTCATGCAATTGGCAAAAGGGGATTTATTGAGGATCCGATTCAGCGCGCTGAGGCTCCAGGCTCACTCAGGAAGGGAAAGCAGCCCAGAGCCCAGAGCAGGGGTTGTGCAATGCTTAAGTACACTTTTTTGGGGGAGGGCGGGACTTTACATACATCACAGTCTCCTTTAACAAATCACCATACACCACGGGAAAGTCAAACAACAATTCTTAGACTTGATTAGTACATACATTGGCGGGAACAGGTCAGGCTGGAGTGATAGGTCATTCCTAAGGAGGGGGTTACATTTAAACTGATTGGTTCGGGCCCTGAATGCCTACACGTCAAGCTGCACAGGATCTTGGGCTATAAATCAACTAAATGGCCAGTAGGGCATTGTCTTAACTGCCCCAGGAATTTAACCCATGCTTTGCAGTTTAGAAGCAGGTTTACAATGCCTGGTCCTTTACATTTTAACTCAGGCCTTGCAGCTTAGAAACTTTACAATGCCCGGTCTTTTACACTTTAACTTCAATTTCTTTTACCCTTACATCCCCAGAGGCCCATGTGTTGGAAATTTAATTTCAGGCTTGCATGTTGAGGGTATTTGGAGGTGGGGGCCTCTGGTAAGTAATGAGGGTGAGGTGAGGTCATAAGGGTGGGGCTCTCAGGATGGGAGTAGTGACTTGATAACAAGAGGAAGAGAAACCAGAGCAGACTTGCTCCTATGATGGGCTCCCTTCATGCCGGAGAAAAAACTAAAGATGTTATAGCTCATTGCTTACAAAATTTTGCCACTGTGGGTGTTCCAAAACAGTTAAAAACAGATAATGCCCCTGGTTATACTTCTACCTCTTTTAAACAATTTTGCTCAACATTTGGCATTACTCATATAACAGGAATCCCATACAATCCACAGGGACAAGGCATAGTTGAAAGAGCTCATCAAACTATTAAAATGTACTTATTAAAGCAAAAAGAAGGAATTGGGAAGGGGTATATATTCCCCAAAGATAAACTTAAAATAACCCTTTTTACTCTAAACTTTTTAAATTTGGATTCATCAGGACTTAGTGCTGCGGAAAGGCATATGTGTCCAAAAAATGTACATAAGCCCAAGGTACTTTGGAAGGATATTCTAACAGGACAATGGAAAGGTCCTGACCCAGTAATTGTCTGGAGTCGGGGGTCTGTTTGTGTGTTTCCACAGGGAGAACAGCAGCCGATTTGGATTCCAGAGAGATTAACCAAGGTCCTGACCCAGTGATTGTCTGGAGTCGGGGGTCTGTTTATGTGTTTCCACAGGGAGAACAGCAGCCGATTTGGATTCCAGAAAGATTAACTAAAGCGATTTCTACAGACCAAAAAGAAGATGATTTGGCTCAAATCCATAACAACTGATATCCAAAACTCCAGTTTGGCTATTCTTACATCTGCAACAGAACCAGGATGCTTTTTTCAATATCTATTTTATTATTGCCCTTTGCCATGTCATGAAGTTCTATTTTGTTTTTTGAGCTCATACAGACCTAGGTTAATGTTTTGCTGATCAGTTCTATTTTTTGACTATAGAGTTTTTAAACATTGCAATGGAGATTTCACCTGTAAAAAGTTATAAGGCCTTTACTATAATGTTACGTGTTGTATGTATTATATTATGTGTGCACACTTGTGTTTTGTGTTATATGTTTGAATGTACGTATGTCCATATATCATATATGATGAGCGCTCATGATAAAATGGATCCAAATATTTTTTTTCACGTGATTTATATGGTTTAATTTAAATTGGGTAAACAACTGTTGAGGATTGTTTTAATATGTAAACAAAAAAGAAGGTTAACAGATCTGTTTGTTTACTTTTACCTTTCCTTTTCATTATATTTAATAATTCTCTTAAAGACAATGTAAATTGTTAAGAAAATTGTTTTCTTTTAGTGCCTTCTGTAATGTTACATAATTTTTTCTTTAGCCATTATTGCCAGAATTCCTATCTTCATCCCAGTGCCGGTGAAGACAATGTAAATTGTTAAGAAAATTGTTTTCTTTTAGTGCCTTCTGTAATGTTACATAATTTTTTCTTTAGCCATTATTGCCAGAATTCCTATCTTCATCCCAGTGCTGGTGAAGTCAAAGATAAAACCAATCTACAGCTTCTACAATAGCCATCACTGAACTGCTTGCAGAACTTGCCTGGACACATTGTGAGCTCACCTGTATGCATTGTGAACTATCTGTTGGTACAGCGAATTGTGGTAGTGCTGGAGTATTTTTGCTGATGATGTCACCGGTGGTACAATTTTTCAAAGGAGCCCTCAATTGGCTTAATGTCATGGCATTTTGCATCCTCCTCTACTAGTGATGGTCTAAAATTTGGGGGCCAACAGAGGTGAGGCAAAGAACCTCACCACCCCACAGGTGCAAAGGCCTATCCACAAGTATGGCTGTATGCTGGACCGGTAGTCAGTGACGGGTATGATCCAATTGCAGTGGTACCAACCTAAGACAGGAGGCTGACGCCTAGAGGTCAGTTCATCCGATGACGGGTAAGGACCATATGTTGAATTGGACTGCCTAACAGGCACGGTCCCTAAGCCACATGCTTGTTGTTTAAACAGAGAGGGGGAGATGTTGAGAGCCACAGCCGAAGGGGCCCCAGCAAACTTCCAGCTGCCAGCAAACTTCCAGCTGCCGGCTGACGATTGGCTCACAGCAGCCCCAGCAACATCTAGCTGATTGGCTCCTCTGCGGTGATGCTCATTGGACTGTTTCCCTGCCCTTTCAGACCACAGAGCTGCTCATTGGGGGACTTTTTTGGCTCCGCCCACGTGACCCAGCCAATCGGCCTCAAGAGCAGGAGGATTGTGGGAAGTGGAGAGAAGCTTGTGTGGGAGAGAGAGGCTTGGGGAAAGCCACAGCCGAAGGGGCCCCAGCAAACTTCCAGCTGCCAGCAAACTTCCAGCTGCCGGCTGACGATTGGCTCACAGCAGCCCCAGCAACATCTAGCTGATTGGCTCCTCTGCGGTGATGCTCATTGGACTGTTTCCCTGCCCTTTCAGACCACGGAGCTGCTCATTGGGGGACTTTTTTGGCTCCGCCCACGTGACCCAGCCAATCGGCCTCAAGAGCAGGAGGATTGTGGGAGGTGGAGAGAAGCTTGTGTGGGAGAGAGAGGCTTGGGGAAAGCCACAGCCGAAGGGGCCCCAGCAAACTTCCAGCTGCCAGCAAACTTCCAGCTGCCGGCTGACGATTGGCTCACAGCACTCCTACTCTCTTGATCTCTTCGCCACCATGTGAGGATACAGGAAGAAATCTAAAGTCTGAAGCCTGGAAGAGAGTTGTATAAACCAGCTTTGTATTACTATCATAAAATAACCAAGGCAGCTAACTTTAAAAAGATATAAGGTTTATTTAGCTCACAGTTTTGGATGTTTGGGACATGGCTGTAGCAATGGTTTTACTGAGGACCTCATGGTGAATGGCAGACAGTGGGTGGCAGTGGCAAGGGCACGTGGTGGGGCAAGTGGCCACATTTCAACTAAGGAGTCGAGAGGGCTGGGTGGGGCCAAACTCAGACCTCAACCAATGGGTCTTGAAAGAATTACCTTGTGAGGGAACATCCTCAATGACCAAAGGACCTCCCTCTGCACCTCACTTTCCAAAGGTTCTACTCCCTCCCAGTAGCACCAACCAATAGACCATGCCTTCCTTTGCAATTGAACCTTAGGGATGGACACTGGAACCACAACAAAGCAAGGGCCTTTGCCAGAACACAACCATGCTGGCACACTGATCTCAACCTTCCAGCCTCCACAACCGTAAGAAATAAATTTCTGCTATTTATAAGCCTCCTGGTCTATGGAAATCTTATATAGCAGCCTGAACTGACAAAGACACTATACACACACACACACACACACACATTTATATAAAATAAAATTTGCCTTTTATTTCTCTTTTTTAAAACTGCCTTGCTTTCTGATTCTACTCTTGGGCTAGTGAGTATCATTGCAAAAATTTTTGCATCCTTGAGGCAACATGCTAAAGCATATGCTCAGGTGATCTCTTTTTAATTCACATAATTATTCAACGTTCAGTTATTGTTGAACGTTTGCTATCTGCTAGGTTTCCTGGCAGGTGGAGATGATCCCCATTTTATAGCAAAGGAAACAGAATCTCTCTGAGACCCAGCAGCTCACCCCAAATGCCCCTGCAGCGGTGGTGAGCCCAGCTCTCAGCCTGATGTGTCCTCTGCACACTCTCTCTTCCCCAGCTTGGGCGGCTGCTCCTGTGCAGAGAAGCAATGGGGAAATCTCTTCTGACAAACAGGAATCAACCTTGACCAGGGAAGGCCAACTAGCACATTGCTTTACAAAGGGCAAAATGGAAATGAGCATGGGGTATGCCTAAACAATCCACGTCTGAAGCTACTTTTATATTAACATTTTCTCCCCCCCCACACCCCAATGATCTCATTAGAATACTGAAACCCAGGTGAGAGGAAATAACTCTCTGATCTTTTTTAAACATTGTGCCACAAGAAGGAGACAAAAGAGAATAGGAAAGGAAATAATGAAAATCTGGTTAACCATAAGATCAACTTCTAAATTCATGATAAGATGAAAAAAATTTTCCACTAAAAATAGCTTTCTAGTTGGCTTTGAGGTTGTTGGTATCAGTCTAATGAATATTTGCCAAAAAAAAAAAAAGTGGGAGGGGAGGAGGAGAGGGAGGGAATGAGATGGAAATAAATGGTGATAAATTTGTTTCTGATCTAATTCAGTTTGAATGATAAAAAAGTGAATCTTTTTAAAATTTTTTACTTTTTTAAAAAATTTGAATTGTTATATATGACAGCAGAATGCATTACAATATTATACATATAGAGCACAATTTTTAATGTCTCTGGTTGTACATAAGGTAGAGTCACACCATACGTGTCTTCTTACATGTACTTAGGATAATGATGACCATCGTATTCCACCATCTTTCCTACTCCTATGCCTCTTCTCTTTACCTCCCTCCCCTTTTCACCTTTGCCCTATATAGAGTTCATTTAATCCTCTCCCCTCCCCCACAACACAGCATATTATGAATCAGCATCCTTAAATCAGAGACATCATTCGGCATTTGGTTTTCTGGGATTGGCTAACTTCACTTAGCCTTATATTCTCCAGTTCCATCCATTTACCTGCAAATGCCATGATTTTATTCTCTTTTAATGCTGAGTAATATTCCATTGTGTATATATACCACATTTTCTTTATCCATTCGTCCACTGAAGGGCATCTAGGTTGGCTCCACAGTTTAGCTATTGTGAATTGTGCTGCTATAAACATTGATTTGACTGTGTCCCTGTAGTATGCTGTTTTTAAGTCCCCTGGGTATAGATCAAGGAGTGGGTTAGTTGGGTTAAAAGGTGGTTCCATTCCCAGTTTTCCAAGGATTCTCCATATTGCTTTCCAGATTAGCTGCACCAGTTTGCAATCCCACCAGCAATGTATGAGTGTGCCAAAAAAAAAAAAGTAAGTGAATCTTTTGATTGTCAGTGGAACTGACAATTCTGTGAAACAAGAATAAAATTTTCAACAGGCAAAACTCTCCGTATTTGCTTAGCTTGAAGGTTAAAAGTCATGCATTTTAAGCTGCGTAGGGTGGCCAACACCTGTAACCCCAGCAACTGAGGAGGCTGAAGCAGGAGTATTGCAAGCTTGAGGCCAACCTGGGCAACTTAGCAATATTCTGCCTCAAAATATAATTTTAAAAGGGCTGAGGAGGTAGCTCAGTGGTAAAGCACCTGCCTAGATTTGAGCGAGGTCTTGGGCTCAATCTCAATACCCCAAACAAAACAAAACAAAAAACTCTCAAAAGTAATGCATCTTAAATAACCACATGATAAATACCAGGGAGAACAAACTCCCCTTGGACGTGCAAATGCCTTGAAATGAAGGAGGTCATGAGCTGAGGGCAGATTTGGCCCATTGCCCAGTTTAGACTGGGCTTCCCCACTAACAAGAATGGGAACTTCCATCTCGATTGTTTCCTCATAAATCTTTATTATTACTTGTTGGTCTTGTTTAAGCTTAACTTCTCTTGATTTAGAACACATAGACTTTTGCCAAATTGGATATTGATTTTTCTGGTAAACTATTATGACTGAATCATGTCCTTCTAAACTTTACATGTCAAAGTCAGAAAAGTCCAGGACCTCAGTGTGACTATATTTGGCAACAGGGTCTTTAAAGAGATGATAAAGTTAAAGTGAGGTTATGAGGGTGGGCTCTAACAGAATATGATTAATGTCCTTACAAGAAGAGGAAATTAGGACACACACACACACACACACACAACCACATAGAGGATTATGTGACCACACAGGCAAAAGATGACTATTGAGAAGCCAAACAGCCTTCTTGACACTTTGATCTTGGACTTCTGGACTCTAGAACTATGAGAGAAGAAATTTCCGTTGTTCATGCCACTCAGCTGTGACACTTTGCTGTGGCAACTTCAGCAGACTAATAGACCAATAAACCAACAAACAAGCAAAAAGTCATGGGAGAACCAGACGCTCAGGATCCTAATCCTAGTGGCAGCACCTCTCCTAGCATCTCCTTCTCTCCAGATAGAATCACTCATTGGAGAAATAGTGTGCTGCCTGTGTATACAAGTGCACACATGTATGCAAACATATCTCCTTGTTCTGCTTACCCAGAGACCCTGGGAGGAGCAACACTGCAATCAAAATGAGCACACCCAGTGCCCACATCTTGGCTTCTAAGTATCATTCTCCTCCAAAAAGACCCAGGACTCACGGAGAAGTGGCCCATTCCAGGGCTGGGCCGGGAAAGTAATCCAGACAAAGAGAGAGCACCTCTTGAAACAGAAAGAAAATGCTTTAAACACGATGGGGATAATGCCAGGAGGGGCTCCCTCTTGCCAAAGTTGGGTCAACTTGAATATAAAATAGGGAAAGGAACAAAGTATAATGGATCACAACCTCTAGGGTAAAAGAGAAACTGTGAGATTACGTGATATATACATGGAAAGTTTAGTGCTTGATGAGGAACAGAATGTTTCCATAGTTTCAAAGTTTAAATTATCCACAAGGTAATTTATTAATCACAAAGGGAAAAAAAAACATGTTTAGTGGGGAAAGCCTGCAGATGTCAATTTCATCAAGGCATCAAAGCATGAGGCAAACTGGGGACCAAATGATCCTCCAGGACACACAGAAAGATGCAGCATCACAGCTGTGATATCTGCAGAGCCAAAGCCTGAGTGTGACTGTGAGAAGAAACACCACAGGTCCAGATTGAGAGTCTTTCTACAAAAGGCTTGTAATCCCTCAAAGGATCAAAGTCATGAGAGGTAAGGAAAGACAGAGGGACGGTTCCAATTTTAAATGATGGTAGAGACTTTAGTCAATGTAGTACCTGGTTCTGATCTGGAACTTTCTGCTCTAAAGAACATTCTTGAGACAACTGGCAAGGTTCAAAGGGGATGTGAAGACTAGGTGAAAGTGAAGCATACACACACACATACACACACACACACAAACACAGACACACGTATGTATTTTTTTTTCTGGTACGGGGGATTAAACAGAAGGGTGCTCTATCATTGAGCTATATCCCCAGCTACCCAAACTTTTTTGTAGTTATTTTGATACAGGGACTTGCTAAACTTCCCAGGCTGGCCTTGAACTTGTGATCCTCCTGGTTCTGCCTCCAGAATAGGTGGGATTACAGATGTATGTTGCCTAAAGTATTAATATTAATTTCTGAGTCTATTTTTTAAATTAGATTTCCAGTTCCAGGGACCTGGTTTACCCAAGGTTTTGTGCATGGCTAGGCAAGCACTCTGCCACTGTGTTACATCC